ACAAAAATTACAATTGAATAACCATCAAAAAACTAAAAGCACATGGACAAAAAACACACCATGTAATCACACAGGAACAGTATACCTGGTTCCTCTTAATTGGGCTCCACCAGTATTTCCTTGGGAGCTCTGGTGGCGCAGTGCCTAAGGTTAACCAGAAGGCTGGCAGTTCAAACCCACCAGCCACTCTTCGGAAGGAAGGTTGGGTAATCTACTTCTATAGAGATACCACCTCGGAAACCCAAGGAGGGGTCACTATGAGTCGGAACTGACTCCGCAGCAGTGAGTTTGGTTTGGTTTTTGGATGATGTCCTTGCTTTCAGTGCTGCCCTCTGGCCTGGGATTCTCCTTGCTCTGCTCCAAATCAAGCCGGGCCTTTCAGGCAAGGCTGTGGAGCTCTCTTCCCTGGGCAGAGCTTTCCACCGCTGCCCTGGAGGTGGGGGCAGAGGCCTGCTTTTCCCAGAGTGCCCCCTCCTCCCTCTGTGAGTGGGCCCAGGGTGGGGTTGGTAGCCCTTGGTCCTCTCAGTTTGCCCTTCCAAGCACGGAACCTTCACAACTGAGCTTGGATGGGGACCATTGGGGCTCCTGTATCCTCAGCTGTTTGTGCCTGGGGTGGATCTTCCACCCTGAGAGGGGGGCTGGGTTGGTGAAAGGCATCCCCAGGTCCTCTAAGCTACACGGACTTGGACTAGAGCGCTTGCAGTACGAGGCTGCAGCCTGTCCTTCCTGGGATGAAGCCATAGCCCTAGACTGGGAGCTGGGTGAGTAAGAGACCCATTTCCTTGGCCTCACATACCTGGAGTTGAACCCTTGGCACAGAACTTCTGTGATTCAGAGCTGAGGGTCAGGGAGTAGGTCCTGGCTCAAATGCCACAGATGCTCACTGTTCTTACTAGGATTCAGTCAACGGTCTTGAATGATGTTTCTTCATTTGCTCTATACCCTTAGGGCAGTTGCCAGATACTTGAGATTACTATTCTCTATCATTTTCACCAGTTCAGTTGTGAAGGTGGGAAGAGTCCACCAAGCTCCCCACTCTGCCATTTCAGATGCCAGCCCCCCCACCCCTGTTGCATGTGATGTCAGTGAGGCTTTGTCCTCTGTGTCCGCTGTGGCGGGCAGAAGGGTCCCGTGGGTCCCTGCGAGCCATTCTCCTAGAGACTCTTCATTGGCTGTTTTAGGTCCAGTGGACAGCTCTCTTGGCATCTTTGTGGTGAAGGACGACACTAAGATCAGCATTGAACCGTGAGTGGAACGACGTAGAGCCTGAGGGTCCTCCTAGAGTGGGATGATTTTACCCCCTTTGGGCTCCAGCTCAGTCTGTCCCAAGGGCTCCTTCATCCTCGGGAGTCAGGCCCACCCCAGAGCCGATACCACGGTTAGGCTCGTGGGGGAAGAATGCCCTGGACCCTGGGATTCTGGTAGAGTGGTGGCTCCACGCAAGACACGTGAGCACCCATGAATTGGCTGGGTAAGTGTGGCCCTGGACACAGAAACATGGCACCTATCAGCATGTGCCTCCCTTGTCCTGGGCCCCAAAAGACATGCCTGAAGTGTCCCAGAGAGGGTTTTGGAAGCCTGCACACGTCTGTCAGTTGTGAGCATCTGTCGGTCTGGAGCAGCTGAGACACCCCACGAGAGTGCACACGGAGAACCCTGTCTTTTTTTGGTGATACTTCATTGTGTTCTCAGTGAAGGTTTACAGTCTGGATCCCCATTCAGCAATTTTTACACAAGTTGCTCAGTGACATTGGTTCCACTCTTCACAGCGCATGACCATTCTCCTGATTTCCATTCTGGTTGTTCAGTTTTCATTAATCTAGTTTCCCTGCCCCTTTCTATTTTCATCTCTGTTTTAAAGTCACCATTGACCGTTTGGTCTCATTGTAAAGGGTCACATTACTTTGTAAAGGATCACAGTACTTACAGGGGATAGTCATTATTTTATGAGGCAATGAGCTCTGGTAGCACAGTGGTTAAAGCACTGGGCTGCTAACCCAAAGGTCAATGGTTTGAACCCACTAGCCACTCCATGGCAGAAAGATGAGGCAGTCAGCTTCTTTAAGATTTACAGAGTTCTACTCTGTCCGGTGGGTCACTATGAGTTGGAATTGACTCAATGGCAGTGGCTTTGTTTTTTTCATTTGTTTTCGTTTAGCTACAAGCTAAATAACCAGTTTCAGCTCAAGGTTTGAAGAGCATCTTGGAGCATTAGTCTTGGGGAGTCCTCCAGACTCAACCAATCCAGTAAATCTGGTTTCTTTGTGGGTTTATTTATTTATCTTGGAATTTGAAGTTCTGTTCCACATTTTTCTCTGTTTCTTTCAGGGTCCAACTGTGAGGGTCCTGGTCAGATACCCTGGGTAGTGGCAGCTGGGCACCATCTAGTTCTTCCAGTCTCAGGGCAGATGAGGCCGTGGTTCATGTGGGCTGTTTGTCCTGGAGACCGGTGTCTCCTCTGAGGACACAGCTCATTGCGTCCCCAGTCTGAGCTGCCCTGGTGTCTGCTTCATGTCTCTGTGTGGCCGCATTTCAGACACATCAACATCGGGAGCCGCTTTCAGGCTTCGATCCCGGAGCTGCAGGAGAGGTGCCTGGCTGACGCGGAGGAACACGTGGCCGCTCTGGTCTGGAAGCCGTGGGGAGACGTGATGACCAACCCAGAAACGCAGAACCGAGGTGGCTGAGGCTCGGGGGTCAGAGTCCCACCTCCAGGGAGCTCCTCCTCCCAGTGGTCGCCTTGACCAAGAAGCAGGGCTCCTGTGGCCGCTCCTCGCGTGCCCTTCCCCGCCCTGCCTCTCCTCTCCCTCGGTGTCTGGCAGCGTCCAGAGCGGTGGCAGGAGCTCCTCCCTCTTTGTCCTCCCTCCGCCCAGCCTGCCTCGCTGGCGATGGGGGAACAAGCAGGTGAAAAGGGGGCCCCAGTTCCTGGTGATCCAAACGGTTAACGCACTCGGCCGCTAACTGAAAGGGTGGAGGTTTGAGTACCTCAGAATAAAGGCCTGGCCATTTGCTTCCACAAATTCAGCCCTCGAAAGCCCTGTGGAGCACGTCTGCTCTCATGCACATGGGGGCACCGTGCAGCCAGGTTGACTCGACGACCAGTGGGTTTTGTTTTTTGTGGAAGGGAAATACACATATGGGAAAGAAGTACAAACATGCTTCATCAAACCTGCAGAATAGAGGGAGGAAACCATGCCAGAGTAAAACAGTAACTGAAACCGGGAGCAGAAACCACAGGGCAGAAGTAGTAAGTGCAGGAGGGTTTAATCGACTTATTTAAAGAGTCACGCTGTCAGGCTGTATATAAAACCATTAAAAAACTGAATCATGAAATATAGTGTAGACTCAATAAAAAAAACAAAACTCACTGCCGTAGAATCGATTCCTACTCATAGCAACCCCTTCTTGGGTTTCCGAGGCAATACCTCTATGGAAGTAGATTGCCTAGTCTTCCCAAGAGTGGCTGGTGGGTTTGAACAGACTGCCTGCTGGTTAGCAGTCAAATGCCTTAGGCACTGTGCCAACAGAGCTCCACAACAGCAATGCCAAACCCACTGCCATCAAGTGGGTTCTGACTCATAGTGCCCCTAGAGTACAGAGTGGAACTGCCCCACAGGGTTTCCAAAAACTCAATCTTTACAAAGGTTCACTGTCACATCTTTGACTGCAGAGTGGCTGATGGGTTTGAATTGTTTACCTTCCGGTTAACAGCCGAGCGCTTAACCACGGTGCTACCAGGGCGCCTGTATAGGAGTCCCAGGGTGATGCAAAAAACCAGTGTTAAAACTCTGCCCTTGAAAACCCTGTGCAGTACAGTCCTACTCTGCCCCAGGCGGGCTCCCTAGGTAGTCGGAGCCCACTGGTGACAGGTTTTCTCTGTGCTGTCTGGGAGGGCTTCCTGCCCTGCTCGCACTCGCCGACTCCTTTGCGTCTCCGCTTCCTCCCACCTCACGGGCGGCTTGCTCGCTCACCCGCCGTGGACGCAGTGACGGAGCTCTGCAACGTGGCTTGCTCCAGCGTGATGCCAGGAGGGGGCACTAATCTGGAACTCGCGCTGCACTGCCTGCACGAGGCCCAGGGCGACGTCCAGGTAAGGCGGAGCGGGGCAGGGGCGTGACGACGTCCAGGGGGCGGGGCGGAGGAGCCTCCCGGGGCGGGGCTTCCAGGTGCAGCTACTGAAAACTAAACCAGAGTCTAGGCCCTAACACCCTGAACCCACCTGATCTTGTTTGAGGACTAAAGTAGAGCCACTCATCCTTACACCCCCAAGGCCACAGGACTGCCCTGGTCCCTGTAAAATGTAGGAAAAATGCTTAGATGTGGGCTCACTTCAGATCAGCTGAGTGGTGGGAACCCACCAGCTGCTTCTGGGAGAAAGATGTGGCAGTTGTCTTGCCTAAAGATGGCAGCCTTGGAAATCCTATGGGGCAGTTCCACTCTGTCCTCTAGGGGAGCTGTGAGTCAGAATTGACTCCACGGCAGTGGGTGTGGTTTGGGCTTTGCTTCTGTAAAGATTGACAGCCTTGGAGACCCTGTGGGGCAGTTCTACTCTGTCCTCTAGGGGCGCTGTGAGTCGGAATGGTTGGAAAGGACTCCATGGCAGTGGGTTTGGTTTGGACTGTGCTTCCATAAACACTGACAGCTTTGGAAACCATGTGGAGCAGTTCTGCTCTGTCCTCTAGGGGCGCTGTGAGTCAGAATCCCTGGCACACAGTGTGTTTGGCTGGCCAGTGGAGTGCACTTTGAGTAACCATGAGTTAAGGAGTGACATCCAAAACCAAACCAAATTCGCTGCCGTGGAGTTGGATCCAACTCATAGCTATCCCTCCTTGGGTTTCTGAGGCAGTATCACTACGGAAGTAGATTGCCCAACCTCCCTTCTGAGGAGTGGCTGGGGTTTGAACCGCTGCCTTCTGGTTAGCAGTCAAGTAGTCAAGTGCCTTAGGTATGGTGCCACCAGAGCTCCTGGTAGTGACATGTTGTTGTTGTTGTTGTTTGCCGTCGAGTCGGCCCCGACTCATAGCGACCCCTCCTTGGGTTTCTGAGGCAGTATCCCTACGGAAGTAGATTGCCCAGTCTTTGTTTCAAGGAGCGGCTGGTGGGCTTGAACCACCAGCCTTCTGGTTAGCAGTGAAGTGTCTTAGGCACTATGCCACCAGAGCTCCCAACTTAGGAAAGGCTTTAAATACTTCCCAAGTGAACAAAAGAATGAAGATGGCCCTCCCTCTCACCAGCCCTCCCTCAGCAAGTCCCCCTCAACTCCTCTTGTTCCAGATTGCCCTGGAGACGCTCCTACTCAGGGGACCCCAGAAGTCCTGGACTCATCCGCTCTCTGACTATCGCTACACAGGTGATTGGAGAAAGGCTGCTGGAACGGCTGGGCCTGGCTCACAGGGGTCTCAGCCAGGCAGCTGGTGCCTCCCGGGGAGCCCTCCTCACCCGCCTTTCCAGAAGGCCTGCTCCTACCGGGGGCCTTAGAGGCACTGCTTTCTTCTGGGTGGCTCCCACCTTCGTCCTGTTCTAGCAGGTTCTCTCAAGTCCCCTGCACAGCCAGGGCGGCGAGGCTGTAGGCAGGGAGAGGGGGAGGTGGGCCCAGGCTCAGCAGTTGAGGACACCAGCCCTGGGCTCAGCCCTCGGAAGTCCTTAGCTGAGGGAAGAAGCCCCAGTTGCCAAGTGTCTGTAGAGTGGGGATTGTAATGTCCCTGCCTGCTAGGGTTTCTGTGAGGATTGTAGGACATAAAGGAGTCCCTGGGTGGTGGAGGTGGTTAACGTGCTCGGCTGCTAATGGAAAGGCTGGAGGTTCAAGTCCACTCAGAGGCAGCTCGGAAGAAAGGCCTGGCAACCTACTTCTGAGAAACCAGTCAGCGGGAACCCCGTGGAGCACAGTTCTACTCTGACACGCGTGGGGTGGCCGCAGATCAGTATTGAGGTCACGGCAGCTGGCGCTATGCGATGCAGCCAGGAAAGGGCGTGGCAGAGGGCTGGGCATGTCGATTGCTGGGCCGCAGTGCCGGCAGCCTTAGAGGAGGGGGTCTGCATTCAGCCTGGGCCACGAGCCCTGAGACATGCCCCTCCCCCGTGCTGTGTTCCCCCCGACAGGTTCCGACATCTGGACCCCCATGGAGAAGAGACTCTTTAAGAAGGCGTTCTGTGTCCACAAGAAGGACTTTTACTTGATACACAAGACGGTAAGGCGGACGTGGGCTCATGTAGACACGGCCCGGCCTCATGCAGCTGAGATGAGCTGGAGCCAAGGTGGGCCAGGAGACCAGCCTCCTGCCGCCTTGCCTGCCTGGGCAACCCTGTGCTCCTAATTGGAAACCCTTTATAATTTTAACAAGCCATAGTCTTGAACCAATCGAAAGAGCCCAGAAGGGTGTGACATGTTCAGAGTCCAATCCCCCCGGGCGCTTCCCCCAGCCCTCTTTCCAACTAATGGCTCTGGCTATGGACTGTTGCCTTGAAAACTCAGGCACTTCTCTGCCCACGCAGAACTTTTACACACATATGCAGGCACTTGGATATGGGGGAGTGCACCCTAGTCATGATGTCCTGCAAGATTTTTTTAAAAAGTTGAAATACACAAGAGTGCGTGTAACTCAAGTGTAAGGTTGGACAAACTCTGACGTATGTATCTCCACCTGCAAAACCATCCCCACCACCAAGATAACGAACATAGCCATGGCCTCCACGATGCTTTGCGGTCCCTCCCTGCAGCCTCACCCTGTCCCCTGACCCCCCGATGTGCTCTCTGTTGCCGTAAACGGGTTTGCGTTTGCTGGGGCTGCCTATGAGTGGAATCACCATACAGTCTGTGCTCCACTTTGGCTCCCTTCGCTCAGCCGAGTGATTCTGAGATTCACCCACACAGCTGCGTCTGTCACCAGTTTATTCCTTTTCATTGCTGACTAGTCCACTGTTTGAG